AATATAACATGCCTTCATTCAACCATAATTTAACATGGTAAGCATATACAACATAGAATTCATTTCATGAAAGCATACATCAGCATAATTTATCAATTAATACATACCTATCCAACCTCACATATAACATTTAAACAACTTTACAAGATTTTATACAAGATAGGTATGCCAAATAACAATTCATACAAGGAAAATTCACAAAAATGCAAGATTGTGTAAATTAAGAACCCCTATCTCAAAGGAGGAGAAAACCCCCCAATTCCCAAGCCCTATATTAGAAAATTCAATGAGGCACTAAAGCTAAAATTGCTTATATCTATGTGAAGATCTCGCTACGCTCTTTGTTTTGCCGCAAACGACACCCAAAATTTCCTACAAATGAGAGAGTAATTGTAGTTTGAAGTATAAGAAAGAAAAAAGAAAAAAGAGAGAAAGAGAGAAATATGTGTACTGCCAGGGAGAGAAGAAAGTTTTGAAGTCAAACTAATGGCCTCTTGGTCTTTAGAAGAGTGAGTGGGGAGTGGGCCCCACCACTAAGCATTAAATCCATTATATATATATATATATATATATATATATAAATTCATAAACATTACACTTCCATTCTCCACTTTTCAAACTGTTAACATAACCCGTTCCTTGGTGACTCCTCGGCGACACGAAAAAATGATTGGCTACTGTCGCTAACCCTTGGTAACCTCATGGTGTCATATGAGCCCAGATAGCTCAACCACCCTAGGGTGATTTCCCTACTTCCTCTAAATTACATTAGCGCCACGGACCCTCGTACCTCCTCGACTTCCGGGTTTTCTCAAAACCCCTTATCAAAAATCTTTCCCAAAATCCCTTTCTTTCATTTTAAAACAATTTTTTACCATTTTTTTTTTCTCTTTGCCCAATGTTATGCATGAATGTCTCATATATCTCAATGTTATGTAAATAAAGAAATTCATGCCCATCAAGTTAGTATTCAACAATATACATACTTTGCAACAAAAAAAATTCTAAAATTTATATTTCATGTTTTCTAATAACAAACTTAGCGCTAAAGGCACAAAGGGCTTGAATAAATTAATAATTAAACATGTTTCATCATCATGTATATCAAGCAACACATAGTCACAACTTTGGCACAACATATACTTATAACATAGCATGAAATTTCTACAAATCAAGCATGCTAATCACCAATTAAGAAGAGTAATTCACAAAAAAGCTTAAGAACATGTGAATTAGAACCCCTACCTTACTTATATGCAAAAATCCCCAAAGTGAGTCAAAAATTCGAAATCCCTAGAGTGCACAAAAATTGAAATTGCTTACGCCCACTTGAAGATCTCGCCAAGCTCTTCGATTTGCCGTAAACAGCACTCAAAAATTTCAAATGGTGTGGCTTTAATCTAAGCTTTTATGAAAGAAAAATAAAAAGAAAATGGAGGCTGAAAGAGAGAGAGAGAGAGACGTAGCGGAGAGTGTTCTGTAATGACCCATTGGTCATTTGTGATGGCAAAAAGGTGGTGGTGGGTGCCAGGCCAATTAAAATTATTATAACATTTAACATTAATATATGTGTGTGTGTATATATATATATATATATATATATATATATATAAAATATAATATAATATAAACCAAACCAATTTCTCTCCACTTTGGCATGGCAACCCACCACTCATTCTTTCCATCATATATATATATATATTACATTATATAGTTCCAACCAAACAATTCAATCCATGGGACTCGCCAAAGTTATATAACAATCACATTTCCATTTCTCTTTTTTTCCTTCAAATTCGGCACCACCTGCTCACTTCCATTTCTTTCTTATCTTTTCATCATCAGCATTACATATATATATATATATATATACACACACTTATTATATGTAACAAACCAATTTAACTCCACCAAATATCTTCTTAAGGAACTCGTACTATCACAACAATTTCTTTCCATCTCATCACCTAATAATATACACAAAATACATTTATATAATATCAAACCTAAATATCTCCTTGTGGGTAAATCACCAAGTCACCAATCACAATTAAATATTTAATTATGATGACTAAAAATCTTGAAATGGATATTCAAAATCTTAAAAATCCGGGTTGTCACAGGCATGGCCTAAATGGCCAATTCATGATTTAAGATGGATGACAAACAATAAGAGGCCAAATTAACCATTTTCTGGGTCACTTGATTAATCAATGCCTTCCACACTAAATTTTTTTTGAGAAAATCTCAAATTTCATGCTCTCACCCCCACCGTTTGAGCTTAGACTCAATCGATCGAGCACTCTTACTTGCCTATTGGTTGTTAACCCAACTTTCGAACGACCATAACTATCTCATTTCAGACCCAAATTAGGTCATTCTTGAACCTAAATTGACCGGCTTGAAGTCAGCTTTCCAATGATATTAGTTCCATCCTCAAATTCCAACTACACTGAGAGTAATAATAGTTTTAGTGAAATAGTGTCGAGAAATCCTTTAAACCGACAATGGGTAAAAATGGGAAACTATACCTGTGGCCATAAAAAACTTGCGGAATTGAGCTTATTTGGTTAATGTGAGGTTAGAGGGACCCATATGACTACTCATACTCAACTCATCCCCTTCATATCTGCCTTGAAATGACTCTTTTCCCCCTGTGTGTCCTCCGATTCGGGTAATGACCCGTTTAGCATTTTAGACCTCGAGTTTGGGTTGTTACATCAACAACCTTGATTCATCAAATAAATTTGTTAGCAGGTAAATAGAAAATAATATAGCAAGATATAACCAATCTCTACATGAATCACAAGACTAAGCCAGAAAATAGGTCTGGCCTATTTTGTCATTATGATTATTTATGCATTAAATTAAAAGGGATTGCCATTTTACATTTATACACAAGAAGAAAAGAACACATTCCTTTGGACAATAAAAGATTTAAAAATATTTTAGGAAATAATTTTTTTCCGGACACCTTGAACTAAAGATTAAGACTTCAAGAATTATTAAGGACAAACTTTCATCAAACATGATACCAAGCCCCCAACCTTACCTCACTTTTGAAGTAACAAATAGATTCCAAATTAAAACAAATTTCAAGGTTGTTTCAACGGTCCTATTGGCGTGGGTAAAGTTTATCAAAATAGCAATGACAAATTTCATTAATATAATGATGTAAAATGTAATTTATTTGAATTTTGTTACTATTTGTATCTATGTGAAATTTATACCATTATATTAACTAAATTCACCATTACCAGTGATGAACTTCACCCACGAAAAAAAAAAAAAACAGGCCTAAGAAAAAAAACTGTTTACACATGAATTTGAGGGGTGGCAATTTATGTTCGCGGGTCGTAATCGTGTTGTGTCGATTTAATGGTATTTTACTAAACAGCTTAACCTAAACATGACCCGTTTAATAATTGTGTCAGGAATCCTTAACACTAACTCGACTTGTCTATTAAACGAGTTACATGTGTAACCCATTTAATGACTTATTTAATAAAATTAAATATTTTATTATTTAAATTATTAATAATAATCGATTAAACATTAAATACTAGAAAAATATAAATTCCAATTCAACCAAATTACTAAATAATCTCCAATTTACAAAAGAATAAATTATAATATACAAGTTTAGATACTTATTTTGGAACTTAAATAAAAATTTGTTTATGACGCATATAGTTAAACGGGTATAAACGGATTACACGGGTTGAACCCCTCAATCCAAACACAACACGATTAACTAAACGGGTTAACCGTGTCAATCCGTTTACGACCCGAATCAGTTTAAGGTTAACACAAACCCGTTTAACTCATGTCATGTTCGAGTTGTGTAGACGGGTCGTGTCAAACTTTGCCACTCCTATAATTTAATACCATTGTTTATTTATTTTTAGAGACTGAACATTATGAGATAACAAAATGTTCAACAAAAAAAAAAATAATAATAATAATACTCCATTTTAAAAAAAAAAATATTTGAAAAAGCAACTCAAGAAAGCCAACTATTACCAGCCCATCCATAATTGATAGTTTTTAGATTATGCTTCTCATGGAATTAATGTTGATCATGACATTATCTTCTCCCTCATAATTTATGTTCCACCACCTTCACCAGAATGAAATTTTCTGTACCTCTTTCTCTTTTCACATTTCATGTGTGTTTACTTTTCTCCTTAAAAAAAAAAAAAAAATGAGGAGAAGAAATTGTGATATTCTATTAGGTCGAAGTTTTACTTTTGGATGTTGTTGAAGATATCATATTCTGTTATATACATCACTGGTTGATGTTGTTGATGATATCATATTCTATTATATACATCACTGTTGATGGAACCTCAATTTTTAATGAGATTTTTTTTGGTTAAAAGATATTAAAATTCAGACACACATAACAGTGTAGATCATCAATTGTATTGCATGTTTTCCCATGCCCAACCCAATAATTACGGGGTACACTGAGTTGAAATTATAAACTCTTTATTATTATTATTATTATTATTTTTTTATATAAAACACGAGATATTATTAAAGTTCTAAATATGATCCCTCAATGATGAAGACTAGAGTTTTGAACTGAGGTTACCCATGGAGATTTGCAGAGAGAGAGAGAGAGAGAAGAGATCGTGATTCTTTTGGAAAGAAAAAAGAAAAAAAGATAGAACATTATGAGTTTCGATTTAATTCGTAAAAAAATAAATAATGCCTATCTTTTTCTATATTTAATTTTAGACACGTATCAAAATTGCATTGGACCGCGTCAACAAAGGAGATGAACTTAATCTCGTAAGAAAATCCAAGTATTGCCCTTGAAATAAAAATATTTGATGAAATTTATTTAAAAAATTTAAAATTCAAAATGGACGCATATGATTAGTGACGTGGAGGAAATTCCTCCTCACTGCATGAACACAAATATTGTTGTGTCTATAATTTTTCTGCTCGTATATCTTTTTTAAATTTAAAATATACACACACACACACCATGACACACTCTCACGACAAATTCATCTATTTACTCAAGAAAAACATAAAATAATCAGTCTTTTAATCCAACAAAACCATAGTTGGAAATAAAGAAAAATTTGAGAGTTGCTCACTTGAAAAGCCTATATAAAGTTGCCACGTCACCGTACACATCCATCAGCCATCTTCGGATGCTTGTTCTGTTCTGATAGCCGGTAAGTTGAGCACAGCTCAAGCCCAAACCCTAATTTCGCAAGCTTCTCGCCTCTCTCTCTCTAACCCTAAACAATTTATCTGTTTCATACTGTTTCTGTCTGCAATGCTATAAATACGGTACTATATATATATATATATATATATATATATATATATATATAGCATCTCGTGATATTGATTCTCTTAGCCAAGTTCGAGTCTTTGATCGGCTGAATTCCACACACAAACGATGGTTAGTTCTCTTCCACTTCAATCGCCCTCAATTTCTTACAGTATAGCAATTTACTTGTACGTTTTCTTTGATGTTCTTACTTCAATTTTCTTTTGTCTGTTGGGGTTTTGATTTCAAGGGCTAATTGCGAGACTTTGGTAGTTCTTTACCATTTTACAGAGGAATCTTTTGATGGTATTTAGGTGGTTGTGGTTGTGATTTGTTGTATCTATTTAGTTGGTTTTGTGGGTAAGCACATACTGGACTAATTTTGATCCAATTTACAATACATACGTATGCTTAAACGTGTAACAGGACTCTCTACTATTCAAATCCCAATTCACTATTCTTCATTGTTTTGAATTTTAAAATGAGGGCTCTATTTGCTTCAATCCCAACCCCAAAGACACGCACAGACACCTTTTAAGCACCAAAGTCCAAACCCGCCAGTTGGAAGAAGTGACAATGAGTGCCCCCATGGGCTTCAAGTCCCTCCCTTCCTGCCCGGCTTGCCTTAGCATGGTTGTGTACACGTGTGTGTGTGTGTGTGTGTGTGAATTTTTTTTTTTTTGATAAGTCGCGTGTGTGAAATTTGAGATTGTTTTTTGTTTGATTGTGACTGCTATCGTTGCTATTTCTATAGGCTGGCAGAGGCGGAAGGGACAGATTTCGCAGGGACTACCCTCTGCGATCTGAAGAAAAGGGCCATAGTGGGCGTAACAATGCGCCCCCATCAAGGCACCTCTGGGTTGGAAATCTGTCTCACAGCTTATCCGAGAATACTGTAACCAATTGCTTTTTACAGTTCGGTGAACTTGATAGCATCGCATTTCAACCAGGACGTAGCTATGCTTTCGTTAATTTTAAAAATGAAGAAGACGCTTTTTCTGCAATTAGAGCACTTCAAGGTGCTACTCTTGCGGGCAATCCACTTAAACTTGAGTTTGCAAAGGCGGTTAGTTTTGTACACCTTTGTCTGTTTTTCTTACAGTGCAATGTTGATATCATTTTGTATATGTAGATTTCATATCAATTATCAGTTCATTATATGAAAGCAATAACAGCTTAAATTAACACACACCGAGAAAGAACAGCAGAAAGAGAAACATCACATAGGTTAACCACCAAGCAGCTATGGTGAATATTCTTTGCCAATGTGGCAGTGGAATATTCAAACTTTTACTTATAATAAAAAAAAATATAAATCTTTGCCAATGTATTAGGTTCACCCTGTCATGCTCACATTATTGGCTTGTGGTGAAGGGAACTGTTCATCTTACAAATAAAATTAATTGTCAGATATAAAGGGTAGATATTGTAGTGTAAGAAATAGGCATCCTTCCATTTCCATTTCTATTTCGTGCTCCGCATTCTAATCTTCTCAGCAACCTAGTTACAATCGTTTCTTGGTCAAAATTTTGGAATGTAACTGAACCAATGGTCCTACAAAATGAGTAGTCTCCACTGCAGTAGTCTCCCCTGCAATCCATCTCTTATGCCTACCAAAACTGCTAAAGAAGGGGATTGATGAGTTATCATAACATATAAGGGATGACAATGTACTATGATGGCATTCCTTCTCCCATTTTCCATTGATTACTCTATATTCTATAAAATTGGTAAAAAGGATGACAAACCTCTTAAACAGAAAGTTGCAATTTAATCGATTTAAGGTCCAACACTTGAGCTTCATCACTCATCCCTGCCACTTTTGAATGGGCTGATTTGTTGTGTTTACAATCGTGATTAGCAAAAGGGAATGATAATTTACCACATATAAGGGTATGTTTGTACTTTAAGGAATAGAAAGATTCTCTTCGTTTCCCACAAAAAGATTCTTGATACTGTCCTCTCTTGCAATTATCTATGAACGGGCCCATTTATAATGCTTATCGCCCCCAATAAAAGACGGGAACAATGTAATTTAAGCAATAGGTCATTTCATATTCCATTTGACGCTTCACATGATATTCAGTCAACAAAATGATTACTCCCTTTTCTTGGAGAAAAACAGGCAACTCCATTCCATTGCATTTCCTTGGGTGCATGAAACCAGCATGCTTACGCCACAACTAGAAGAAGGGGTAAGTCACCATGTTTAGGACTGAATTGTTGGACACAGGTGTAAAATGCTGGAAATAGAGTGAACTGTAGATGTGTTTGGTTGTTTGTTGATGGAACAGGATGATATTTCTTTTCAGTTTTAAATATTTTACATTTCAATGTCAGAATTAGCATGCTGTTTAGCAAGACTTCACATCTTGCAGACATGCCGTCTCAAAAGGGCTTACTTATTTATTTTTGAATTTGATATTGATTTATCAATTACCAAGTTCAAACTGTGGCAAAAATCATTAATATGGTCAATGTTAATATGGTCAATGTGTTGTTGAGAGATATCACTGTGTTGTTGACTGCTCTGCCATAGTTGAGACCTCAGCAACATCATTGAAAAGGGAAAGAGAGAGAGAGAGGGAGAAGGTTTCCATCTTTGTCATCATCTCCTTCTTCCCCTTATGTTCATTTGCCTTGTAGTATTCTCTACTGAGCCTTTCCCTTTTACCTTTTCCTTTTTCTCTTTTTCTCTTTTTCTTTAATAGTCACTAATGTAGAAAAACTTAGAAGATTCCAATAAGACCTTTTTTTTTTTTGGTCTTTTCTATAGATTTATCTTTCTCCGCTAACTTAACATTCTAACTTCATGATTTCACATATTTATTTGGTAAACAATCATTTTTCATGTTTTTTTTTTTTAAAAGTAAATGATTTCACTTGTAGCATATTAAAAATTCAAATTTCATTCAAAAGAATAAAGACACATGGAAACATAGGTTCTAACTCTTAGTTGATTTTTTTGTTCCATTTCTTGATTTTTTTTAACAATTCACACTGACATCCATCATTGAATGAAATTGGCATCTTTATGAATCATCAGAATAAAGGTATTGTTTTCAAAGGTAACCAATATACAATTTAACAGACTTTTTAGCTTAGTCAATAATTTATTATTTATTGTTTTTATAGCTAATATAATACTGCCTTCATCGCACAAAAAGTGTCCACCTTTCCATTTTTGGCTGTCCCAATTCAAAATTCAATGCACTCTCTTTTTAATATTCCTAATTTACCCTCCTTGCCTTGAAGTTTTAAAAGCAATTGAAGTTTGCAATAAACCTCATGTGGACCCATCATAAAAGGGTATATTTGGAAACATATAAAACGATAAATAAAATAAAGCAGAGACACAATGTTTTTTACATGGAAAATTGTAAAAAGTCATGTGACCCAGTCCAGGCAGATCAAAATTTTCTGCGTGAGAAAGAGGTTAGAGACTAAGTTGATGAAATTATAGCCCAAGAATCAACTAGTCCCTCCGAACTCATACTTATGCAAGATCTACTAGAGCCTCCTGCCGCTAATCTATCAACAGACTCACTCCTCACGCAATGCGCTCCGACTCTCTGTGACTAGTGAAGTTCGATCAATTTGTTTTTTGTGAGCCATTTAGTTGATGCTCTGATGGATAGTTTCAATTATGCTCCTTGTTTGGATTCTCTCAATCACATGTAGTATGATAATCTATGAAGAACCCTAGATTGATTGTCTCTCTAAAAACATATAAATTCTTTTAATAATATGTAAAGAATTGAAAGCTCCTCTAAAAAAAGCTACCTTAGACTGGCTATAACCCTAAACTTATAGCCAATATAGGTGACTCATGTAGTATGGTAAAGTAAAATTCTTTTCGGGATTCTGATTTGAGAGAGTTTTCATACAAGTATGTTCAGAGGGTTCGATTGATTGACACTCTCAGGAATTGTTTCAATCAATTGACCATTCAATTGACGATCTAAGTAATTCAACCATGCAATTTAGATTCTATACAAGTATGTCTGCATGGTTCGATCAATCAGCCATGCAATTGACACCTTCAGGAGTTGCTTCGATCGATATTCGATCAATGATCTCAGTAATTCAACCCTGTAATTCAAACAGTCCCTCGATTGATTGAACATTCGGTTGATGTTTGATCGATACAATTATAGATCAATGCATTTTGCCGTGAGTTCAAAATATGGTTTTGAAAAATTTCTAGCTTGAAGTTGAACCTCAAGAGAATTATTGTTATTTTCATGATATACACAAATCAAAACTTTTTTTCCTAAAATTTATTACACATCAATAGTAATCAAATTTTTGCATTTGTTTATATCAAATTTGTGGTAATTTCAGATGATAAAATTCACATTTAAATTTTAAAAGAATACCAGTACTCTTTCTTATGATAAGTTTTAAAATAATTAGTGCCAACTACCAAGTGGAATTATATATCAGATTTCCATGAACTTTGGTATATCATATACATGGAAATTTTACGTATTCTCTCTCAACAATCTTTCATTGTTCTCAAAAATATCGTAGCATAAAACACAACCTTTCAACGTTTGCAATGCTCACAATTTACTAAAAGAGATCAAGAAAACTTATTGTGAACTTAATGTAAATAAAATTCTAGAACCATCTCAGTTAAGCATGTTACAATCCCCAAACAACTTGATAACAGTCAAATTTCAATCAAGTATGTTGTGCAGGAATATTTAGAAATGAGATTAAGCCTTAAAACTTTAACAAAATATAACAGTTCATTACATTCAAAAAGAGCTTGTGTAATCAACCAAGCTCTCCAAGCAATCACTTCAATCAAACGGCTTCCATGCATTACAATAGCACGGGTATGTGGTTTAAAGAGATTGGCTTATAAGGATCTCCATGGGTATTGATGGTATTGATTTGCAATTCAATTGATGCTTCCATGTTGTTCATGATGTAGAACTTGAATTGCAATCCAAGTGATGTATTATTACATTGTTGAGGTTCCATAACTTCCATTCATCATTGGTTGGCATAATAATCTCACAGTCATCACCGTTTCATATCATATTCTATTATTCTTCCTCTTCGGTTTCCAAGTGATCTTTAATTGGCTACCCCTATGCATCCAATGCAGAATAATATAAGCAGTGGAGCTCGCAAAATATCATAAGGCTGTTGACCACAATAAATCATTTATATTGTCGTAACATCATTGGTATCATACTGAATTATCTGGGTTGTATCCCATGTCCAATGGACGTTATTGCTTGCCATAAATGCAAAATTGCAGCTGCAGCCACCAGTACATGCCAAGAAAAGTAAGATTGATCAAAACAGCCTCCATATATCTTCATTACATGTTCCAATCAGCTTGTAGAAATTCCATCATATTATTTCACTTTGCCAATGGGGACAAGGATAGTGTTACCATATAAAACCAGCATACTGGGAGTACTGTTGAAACATATCAGTGAACATGATCTATCGAATTTACCAACTTTGTAAGAGTTAATATTCACTAAAATGCATATGTTTGAATGATTTAGTCATGTGATGAATTTTATTGTTAAAGTAATGATAAATGTCTAAGTGAGTGCATTCTTATTATATGTGCTCAACTTTGAACAGAAAAAGAGATAAATACCATACTATCGGTTGATATATGATGTCATTTAATTCTCACCTAATATAGAAGGTCCTTGTGCAACACATGTAAATAATTACTAGTCATAAGCATACATTGCAATGTGTGTTGATTATAGGAAATGGTGTGATAATTTAGTTCTTCTTCCTACCTGAATGCTGCACAAGTTGAGAAATATTTATCTTCTCTGGTGTAAGGTAACTTACTTTTGTTGTTATCTGAAAAAGCCAGTGATACAATGCATCTATTTTGTTTCCCAATACAGGCTGCTGTTGGTTTATACAGAGCACTTGCATTATCCCATGGAAATATAATAATGAATCTTGAGTAGACATTGTAGTTACCATGGTTTTATGTGATAAAACATAAATTAGGTACTTTTTGGAACTTCTGATGAATTCAAGCGATAAACTGAAAATTTGTAAATTCAGAATAAA